CTGGCTGTATATCTGGAATTACAGAATGGTAAGTCTGGAAATGTTCTATCAACCTAAATTTTGGATACAAAGGGAAGAGGGCAGTAGTCATTATTCCTACTCTACAGAGAAATGTGCCAGTGTTTTGAATTATACCCTTTAGGCCCTGCCTCCATTTTAGACTGCTATAGATCTATGTATCCACACCTTCATTTCTACAGTTTATTGTGATCCCGTTCTTACACACTCCACATTCATTGCCTGAAGTCTTCTATGCTTTGTGCAGAACTGGATAGCCTATTAAAACCTTTGATGAGGTATATACTATAAAGAGGGTTTGAAAGGCTTTCCATTAAAAGACAACCACAATCCAGTTTCCCAAAGAAGCCATATCAAGGCCTATGTAGCAAGTATAGCAGCAAAGCTTGTAATATTGACAACTCACTCTTCCAAAATGCTTCCTTTTGAAGGTTCACTGTGTTTGTATGGGGGAAAAACTCTACATAATGGGAAACTGGAAAAGTTGCATCTGAATTCTGCAGTGTGAGCAGACTGGTGCAGCTGCTGATTGAAGCTGTCATGGTTGCAGATCTGTGCCCCTTGGGGCTTAATATCCAAGTGTTGTGAAATGTTCTGTTCTCCTTCAGTTGTCTTGCATTGCAGGCAGGCAGAGGACTCGAGTATTTGCATTCAGAATTGAGACTTCTGCAAAGCTTTTCTTACAAAGATATTTCTAAATTGGAATTTTGGAAACCTTTCTTTCTGCAAAAAGATGTATGGAGCAGAAGGGAGTAGAAAGTGGGATTTACATCTCCCACCCCCTTTTTAAGTATATAACAAAAAAAGACTGAAGACATTTTTTGTTCTATAAATGGCAACAACCTCTTCTGAAACTAAAACTTCAGTGAAAGAAAAGTATTTGTAAGAGAGAGAAATATTCCTTCAGAACTCAGCATCTTTTCTCCTAAATTGTACAGGTTTAATTTTTAACAAATAATAGGTTTTCTATTTATGTTGGTGTTTAGTTGATGGGCCATGCATGCAGTTGAAAATGAGTTTTCTTGGTTTAAAAGTGTTTTATATACACCCTCAACAGTTGCATTACTGTCTGCAATGTCACAGTGTGAGGGCATTTTGTGTGAGATCTAGAGTCTAACAACACAGCTGGGAGAGGGAAGAGGTGCCCTTCAGGAATATAGAAGGTGCTCTGGCATCTTCCAGCCCTGAGGTAAAAAATTGATGTCTTCAGCTAAGAATAGGTAGACTCAAGCAGAAGTATTTTTTTCAAGTTAACTGTTTTCTAATGCTTTTCATGTCCATGTCAGTGTTTCACCTACTAGGAAGACTGCTGGAGTCTGTGGGCCAGGCTCAGGGCTGGCTCATCAGCTCCGTCCCTAGAACAGTGATTCGTAAGTCATAAAATGGTATTTTGGTTTTTTAAATCGAATTTGTCTTGTAGGTAACACGCAGCTGGCACTGCAGATCATCAAGAGGAACCAGCTGCTCCCTTCCGTGAAAACACTCTCTGACATGCGGAAAAAGCCTGTTTTCCAGCCAGTCCACTCAATCCAGCCCATTCAGATGCCAGCTTTCACTACTGTTCAAAGGAAGTGAGGTTGTTCTTCAACTTGCTGCTGCTGTGCCCATGAGGGCTTGGGATTTTGTATATTTTTTTAACCTAGGACACCTGAATACCCCAATTGCTGGAGTGTGTTTATGTAAATTTTTAATAAAACATATAAACAAAACCACTTGTTTTTAAAGGTTATTTCATGAACAATGAGAGATGGTATCTGCTTTGAATGGGAGTGGCACTTTACTTACCAAGAAGAATTGGTTAACCAAGTGTGTAATTCAGTTCTTTTTGAAGAGAATGGGGGGAGGGAAGTGACTGGAAGGAGAAAATCATTTACTTAAACCAAAGCTCTTGAAAGACCAGTTGAGCTGTTGTGTTGGCTGCTGTGTTTTAACACCTATGAGCCATGATATTCCTCAAAGAAGAGGCCTTTGCCCAACTTGATGTAGCTACAGTCCTCTACCCTGCAGAAGCTGGGAGTTGGGGCCCTGCCATTGATGAAGCTGCCTCTTCAGCTGTAGGGGTGGATGATGCCTGAGGGAGAGTGTACTGGTGTGATGGGGGGTGTCCTGAGTGGGGGGCTGTGCTGTTAGGTGAATGCCCCTTCAACAGTGCTTCCCTCTCACACTAGAGGGACTCTGACTGCTCCTCCAGTCTCTGCAGCAACACAGGGGGCAAGAGCTAAAAGGCTGTTTGCCGAAATAATGGATCAGCACCTGCAAAGCGTTTGTCAGTGCTGGGCAGCAGTAGCACTTCAGCTGGATGGGGGCCTGTTGGCTTTTTTTTTGGTTGGTTTTCTTCTCCCTGGTTTTCTTCACCCAAAAGAAAGATGTAATGGTGCAGGTACAGTGGAAAAGTGCTTGGCTGTAAGAAAAAGGTGTTCTGTTCTCTGGGGTTTTTTTCAAATGCAGTTTCCAGCGTAGAGGAATACCTCTCAGGAAAAAAATAAAAATCTGCCTTTTACTCAAACCAAGAGGTTGTAAGATAATCAAGGACTCTCTGGTGCAAGCACAGGCAAAGCAGTGAGCCATCCTGCCTTGGGACTTAATGTGGGCATAAGATAATTGGTGCCCAGCATGGAGCCCAGAACCTCTCCTCACATTCTCTCCTGGGCTGTTTTGTGCTGTTCCAGCTATTTGAGCCTTTGCCCTGATAATCTCCAGGATAGAGCTGAGCTAACACCTTATCTCCTGGTGCTGCTGGCATTGTACTTTGCCTCCAGGCACCACCAAGAAAATCACTTTTCCAAGCAGCACCTGGGATGTGAGGCCTGCAAGTTCTGCGCTCGGTCTCGAGCATGAGGCAGTGCAGATGTGTGCAGCAGAGGAAGGCAGCAGGGTAGTCTTGGGTTTGTGTCCTTGATCTTGAAGAAACAAGCCACAACTGACAGAAGCAGAACAGTGAGTACTGAACAATGTGCAAGTTGTGGAATGAGCACAGATGTGTCTCCTGCAGGAAGCAGTACATCAGCAAGCTTGGGACCCGCTACTAGCCCTCCTGTTAGATAACTGGCTTCCCTGTTTTTCATGCCTTTCAGAGCAACGACCAAGTAGCTGCCTCTTTCAGTAACTTTTCTATCACTACAGGAGGTGGCACAGACCCTGTCCTCAGCTAGGGCCAAGCGGTTTAGAAATAGTAGGAATTAAAAAAAAAAAAAAATCAGTAAAAAATAGGTAGAAATCACTTTTCTGAAAGAAGGAAGAAAGGGATCTGATACATCCCTCAAGTCAAAGTAGATTGACTGATGAAATACAAAAAAGGTTAAAGATGCTCCCTGTGTGGTCCCAGGCCCTGAATAGAGAATATTCTTCCCTGCCCTTCCCTGCCCCCCCGGAATGCGGGGCATTCACATGCAAAAGATGCTCCTGCCTTGCTCCAGCAGCGGCTAGCGCCAGCTCAGGCAGGAGCCATCCAGCGCTCTGCCCCCCCCCGCGGGCTCGGTGAAGGATGCAGTTGTTCCCCAGATAACACGCATCTTACTGCAGCCGTATTTTGCATGTGAGCCACAGCCTTCAACCCCAGCTCTCCCCTATACTGCCTGCGGGCGGCTGCAGTCACCACAGCAGCTCCGAACTTTTCTCCCCCCTGCTGCGACTCGAAGACAGGGATGGATGAGTGGAGATGTTGGCTTTCAGCTTTCAGTTTTACTATTAACAGAGAGGGAAAAAATAAGTGTAAAAACACAGCTCAGGAGGTAGCAGTCAAGGATTTGGCTTCCTCTCTGGTACTGCCATAGAGCCACAGTCCACTTTCTCTTCCCTCTGTTTCTTTCAGGCTCGGGTAGTAAAGAAGTGAAGGTCAAGTAAAACTGCAAGCTAGCCTGTGATAGCAGCAGGGGAGAACGGGAGCAGCACAGGCTCAGCTGTGTGTAAAGTCAGAAACTCAACAGTGCATATAATTTTGGTTTCAGCTACTTCTTAAAGGGAAGGTTGCCTGTCCCTCTCTCCCCATCTCCTCCCATTACCCTGTGGCCATGCACTGGCTCACATTCCCACAGAAGGAGAAAGGGGTCGCACTCCCTTTCCCCCCACCAAGCACCAAAAGCCTTGTTGCTGCCTCAGCACAGTTCTTGCACCAGGGCCATGGGCATTGCTGTCCACTTGTCAGAACCTTTAGCTGAGCCCATGGCTCTGGTGCAAGAACTGGACAGCACTTGTTCAGCAGCACCCAGAGCCATCTCATGGTGTTCAACTGAGCTTCTAGGTTCCAGCTGTTTTCAGGGAGAGAGCACGGAGGAGCCAAGGAAATAGAGAGTAACACATGAAGCTGTACAAACTCACCTGGGCAGCCCTTTGTCCTCTTCTTCACAGGTCCTTCCCTCTCCCTCCCTCCCTTCAACTTGAAGTGTTCTCTGTACTGCTGATGTGTTGCCAGCTGCTCCAGCAGGAAGAGTGAGCAATGGTCTGGTCAAGGATTTTGATGGATACAGCCCAGCATAGTGCTGAGAGTCCTACAGTTGTTCAGGGCCAGAAAGCACCTCAGCTTTGAAGAACTAAAGCAGTCAACACTCTCAGAGCCTGGAATCCACCTCCACTGCTGCCTGTGCTGGGAATTCAGGTAGTGGCCTTAATTCTCAAACTTTACTTGAAGAGCATCTTCCTCTGCTCACTATTTCTTAAACATTTTCCAAAGCAGTAAAGGAAAAGGGCACCTTTTCCCCTTACCCAATTTGTGATGGCAGTCTGCCCTGCAAGGTGCTAGACACCTATTGAATGTTCGGGGGGCTTTGCTTTATTTACACTGCCACTCAGAAACAGCATTCCTTCACGGTTGCAAAGGTGGAGAAATGGAAGCCTAGAAATGGACCTAACAAAGTTAAACCAGGAACCTTCTGGCAAAATACTGTGAAAAATGCATGGAGTTACAGGTAGTGAGTTCAGTATCAGAACTCTTTTCTCCAGTCATGACAGTGATGATTTTTTTCTAATA